TTTTTTTTTTTTTTTTTTTTTTTTTTTTTTTTTTTTTTTTTTTTTTTCTCCTATATCTCTTTCTTATCACCTATCTCCTATATTCTGGATTTGAGTTGCTCATTTATCTCTTTAAATATCTATCTATATTATAAGTTGATGTTGTGCTTTAAGTTCAGATCATGTATTTATACGTATCATGTGTATTTTGTTTATTAGTACTGCATAATAATGGGAGCGAAAGAATCATCAGATATGAAGCTTTTGTAGTGAATTAAATGAAAAAAAAAAATACAAAAAAAAATACAAAAAAAAATATCCAATAATTACAGTATATTAAGAAACGTACTAAGCTTTATTTTGCCTGAAAATAAGCTTTATCAATGTAAATGGTGTTAAAGTAGTTGGCTTGTATTAGTTAAAAACTTATTAACTATATATATATATATATATATGAATAAAGTGCCTTCTTATTCCTATCTACCGAACTCCGATAGCTTCTCCGAATCCAAATCCAAGTGTGTTTCTTCATCATTCTTGCAGGTCCATTGAATGCCTTCGTCAATCAAACTCGAAGCAATGATAGCAATGATTTTTGATGAAAAACTTACCCAAAATGCTTAATTATTGTCACGCTCTTTATTGTTGTTGTACAGACGTGGATGTCGTCCTTGCTTTACCTAAGAAAATTGCACTCAAAATGTGCATTTAATTGAACTTGAGTTGAAAAAAAAAAATAAATAAATAAATAAATAAACAAACAAACAAATCGAATAAACATAAATCAATTCGAACTGAAACAAATTTAACCTGCAGTGTCAAGATATGTGTTGTTAAGCTTCGGCAAAAACCTTATAAGTGATACTATTTTCCATTTTTCAATTATATCAAGCCTTTATGCTAAATAAATATCATGCAAAAAATTCTCTTCGAATAAAAGTCTTCCAGCTCATGCACAAAGACCTTTAAATCAAGTTTCTCAAAAACAAAAAAAACAAAAAAAATATTTTCAAATATTTGTTAATAATTTTTTATTCATCAAATATATTTCATTGAAAATTTTTACAAAATTGTATTTGCTATGGCGTTTATAAGCGCAAAAAATTCAAACTGGAATAGAGTTTATTGCAAGCCGATTTATACATCATAGGAGAGACATCCGTCATAGATGACACATTAAAGTGAGACTCCAATTAAGGTTAATAACTTCAACTGTTAGCGAAGCTTCTTACTCTTTCTTCTCGAGTCATAAAAAAGTTAAAGTTCAAATGCTTTTTAAATTTCAATTCTTAATTCAATTTTTCTCCAATAATTCAGTTGATCATTTCAAATCCAAACATAAATATACTCATTCTTTTCAACACAATTATAACTAGAAGTAAAACGCCAGGTAAAAAAGAATGCAACTGAAACCAACTCACCACAAAGCTATAGCAAGCAAGATGAAAAAAAAAAAATAAAAATAAAAATAAATAAATAAATAAATAAAAAAAAAACAAAAACAGATTCTCTCTGATAGTCTTTCACTCTTAATGTGCAATACTTTCTTTATATGGGTATATAATTTTAGACTTCTGTTCAGGCACTCGAAGAGGAAGGCAACGCCGAGAAGCATCAATTGGCGGCTATGCATCAGCAACGTGTTCTTGCCCACATCAATCAACGCAAACGCGAAGCGATGACATGTTATACACAGGCCTTAACCGAGCAGCCACCCAATGTAAGTAGAATAAGAGTTTTTTTTTTTTGTTTTTGATAATTCGGTTCAAGGGAGAAGAATTTGCAATATCTTCTCTCTCGTTAATATCTCTTTTTAGGCTCATCATGTAGAGAAGTGCTTGCAAAAATTATTACGCGCTTTGCATAAAGATCGAGCTCACGCATTAGCCCATTATCGTCATCTATTAAATTCAGGCGGTGCTGGCGGCTTGGAAGCTGCCGCTTCGGAGAGGCCACGCACTTTGGAACGTTTAATTGATATCGATCGAGCCGTTAATCAATCTATGACAATGCTTAAACGTTACCCTGAGCTATCCGCTAAAATTTCACAATTGATGAACGATTATATTTTAGCTTTGCGCAGCAAAGACGATATACCCGGTTCTTCATTGGGGATGAGTGAAGAAGCGGAGGCTGCCATTTTGGATAAATATCGTGTTGAAATTGAGCGTAAGGTCGCTGAAAAAGAACGCCTCCGTTTAGCTGAAAAGCAGCGCAAAGAGCAACGTGCAGCTGAACGGGAGAAATTGCGCGAAGAGCAGATGCGTTTGAAAGCTCAAAAGGTAGATGAAATGCTCAAATCAGAACAGGAAACCGCTACAATGAATAGCGAGGAATCGAAGGATGTCAAAGAAATAACCGGTCCAGTGGATACCGTAGATCCTACCAAGTCAGTGCATAACTACAAGGAAACCAGTATGGATGAAGATGCTGAAGCAACTGTCAGGTGAATAAAAACCTTTTCTTTTGATAAAAACATGAGGAAAGTCGTACGAAGAGTCCAAGTTTTCTTTCTAAAATAAAAAAGAAACATTTCTAGCGAAACATTTTGCACAAAACAAATTACTTCGGGTCTTTAATATAGACTGAACACTGCTCTGCTCTGTCCTTCCCATAAAAAAAAAAAAAAAAAAAATTTTAGATTTAATATAAGAAGAATAGTTTCATGTAGGCATTTAGGCAGAAGAAGAACAAACTAAACCTATCGTGTATGTAGTAAGAAAGAAAGTCTATTCAATTTAAAATCTCTAGAGAAAATTAATCTCATTTTTTAGAGATAGTAAGGTGAGGATTACGGTTCTGAAAGATTTTTGCAATCGCTCCAATTGCTGCCCTTAAGCAAATACGTGTTTACGTGTCTTCGAAGCCACCAACCACACAAATCATGTTAAGAAATTAATAAGAATGCCATGCACCTTACGTATAGGATTTCAGGCAAGAAGATATTTTTGCATGTGAGAAGGTAGAGTGTAGCAAATTTTTTTGATAACTTTATGCGAGGTCAGCACTTTAATCATGCTCTTCAAAGCAAACAAATTTAGTGTGAGCAAAACATACATGGGTAAAATTGTATTTTTTTGAATAACAAAATGCAAGGCTAGCTAGATATTTGTAGGTATCAATCTTGATAAGCGTAATTTTGAGATGACATTGTTTTTTTTGTTTTTTTTTTTTTTTTTTGTAACATTTCAGCACCAAAACACAAACAATCCTGCCCACTGTGGACGACGAAGCTGTACAACGTGCCGTCGAAGATGTAGCTGCCGCAGTAGCTCATCAAGAAGCCGAGCCACAAGTGCAACATTTCATGTCTCATGATTTGGGTCATCGTGAATCAGTATGTTGATAATTTGATATAAATCTTAGATTCTTATTTCGCTAAGCAAATAATCTAAAGTCTTCCGATGCAATTCCATTGCAGAGTTTCTCGTTACGCAGGGAATATTCGCATGCCGCAGCGCATACGAATAAAGAAGGACGCAACGTCTACTTTACGCTCTCATTTGCGGGTATTGCTCTTATGGCAGCTATATTTGTCGGTGTAGCTGTAGCCAAATGGAGAACAGCACGTTCACCCCATGCGCAGGGCTTCATTGAAGTTGATCAGGTAAGTGTATAAGAGAATAAGACGGATTATCTCAAATAATCATATGGTATGCTTAATATTTATTTATTTTTTTTTTTTTATTATTTATTTATTTATTTATTTATTTATTTTTTTATTTTTTTGATATCCTAGAATGCCACCACTCATCATCCTGTGGTAACCGAAGAAAAAATTGTACCGAGTATGCAAATTAATGGTTATGAAAATCCCACTTATAAATACTTTGAGGTTAAAGAGTAAAGACACAAAATACACTCATATAATAACTAAAACGTAAGAAGATGAGAACATGAACGAAAGTAAATGAGAGCAAAAGAATGAGAGAAGAGTAAATAAATAAAAACACAACAGATCATCAAAATGTCACTTTGCAAAATAAGAAAAAAAAAAAAAAAAAACAAAAAAGAAAACCAAAACAAGATGAGAAAAAAAGAGCAACAGAGAAATTCAATAATTTTTAATTTATAACAGAAAATAACAATAACAACAAAAATAAGACGAAGAGGCAGCAAAAAATTTTCTTTTACTTTCACCTAAAACTATGTTAAACTTGTTTAGAAAGATAATCATAACGAGATAAATAAAAACTTTTATGTGTAATGGCTAAAGAAAACAAAAAATTAAAAAAAAAAAGAGAGACGAAGAAGAAAACAGTAACATTTTTAGATTAAGCCTAAAGAAAAAAAAAAAAACAAGAAAAAAATTAACAAATAAAATTTAAATGTAAATGAAGAGAATCAATAATCAGAACAACAACAACAACAACAACACAAATTTATTTCCTATCATTTCATAGTAACACCCAGCCATCATAAACGGAGATGTCAGCTAATGAGATGTATGCTAAAAAAAATAATAAAAAAACGCCTGAAAGCAGGCTATAAAAAAAAGTTTATATAAAGTATTACGAGTAAAATGGAAATTTTTATTAAGCGGCAACATTTAACTTGTAAGACAGAGCTAATCAATGCGAACAGCTTTTTTCATGGCTTTTAAATTCTATAAAAATCTATAACTTAAAGAAAAACGACAAACATGAAAATCTTAAAAAACCAAAAACTAACTAAAATTTCTACTAAAAAACCAAAAAAAAAAAAAAAAAAAAAAAAA